TTTATTTTATTTTATTTTATTTTATTTTATTTTATTTTATTTTATTTCATTTCATTTCATTTCATTTCATTTCAATTTTTTTTTGCCATAATTCATTCTATTCTTTTTCTTCTTTTAATTCTTCCCACAATATTACCCTTTAATTAAGCCTGGCTCTCATTTTACAGATAATTAATGTCAAATTACAGAGCGAGAAACGTCAAAAAAACGGAGCGTTGAATCTATTGATGCATTTCCCTGTAGATTTGCACCCATCCGGGTGGTTTTTCTTCCTCTCAAATAACTGAATTTTGACCCAAGCACCAAATTCTGCTGAATTTCTGCATTCTGAATCTGAATTCCAGCGCGGGAAATCAGGGTTCATCCATCGCAAAATGCTTTTGAGCCGCCCCAAATCCCACTCACTCAATCCCCCCCAAAAAAGTCAGGTTTTTCACCTCGTTTCGAAGTCGTGGACGAAACGACCCCAAAAAGCCGTTAATTAATTTTTTTTTTAATTTTTATCTTTTTTTTGGGGGGGGTGTGGGGTTGTTTTTGTCCAATCAGGACGTGCAATACACAGACATCGATTACCTGGAGCGCCAGCTGGACTTCAAGCTGAGCCCGCGCTTCTCCGGCCTGCCGGAACTCATCAACAAAATCCGGGCGGAAGGCATGAGATACATCCCCATTCTGGTGAGCCTCGCTTCCAACCCCACCAAAATTCACATTGCTGCTTTTTGAGCCCCCGAAAAAATGACATCATTTCCAATATTTCCTTATTTTCCCCCCGTTTACTCCCCAGGACCCGGCCATATCAGCAAATGAAACCGATTACCTCGCTTTCACCAGGGGAAGGGAGAAGGACGTCTTCATCAAGTGGCCCAACTCCGAGGACATCATCCTTGGGAAGGTACCTCCAGCATCACCGAATCGGGGCATTTCACCCCCAAAAATTCCAATTCCGGACTCGGGTTTGGGTTAAACCCATCCCAAACCCCCTTTAACGTCCGGCACCGAGCGCTTCCAGCTTCCTTTTCCTTTTTCACCCCCAAAATTGGGTTGGATTTGATGATCTCTGGAGGTCCCTTCCAACCCCTACAATTCTGTGATTCTGTGAAAATCCAGCAGCGAATCTGAATTCCTTGTGTGTGCAATTGAACTGTCGTTCATACAAATAAAAATAGAGAGACGATTTTGAGACGTTTTCCCTCTTTTTAGGTCTGGCCAGATTTCCCCAACATCGCGGTCAATGACTCCGTCGACTGGGACACGGGAGTCGAGGTGAGCAGCGCTGCGATGAGCAGCAGAACGCAGAAGCTCAGGTTTTTTTTTGGGGGGGGGGCACAAAGTGCAAAAAAAAAACCCAGCAAAAATATTGAGAGGCAAAATCTGCACAATTTGGGTTTTGTTTTTTCCTACGATTTGAATGCAGTTTTTATAAATTTCAACGCAATTTTCAATCTGACCTCGATGCCGTTGGGCTGGGATTTTTAACCAACGTCTGCGCAGCTTTTTGTGCCGTTTTCAAGCAACCTTCAGGCAATTCCAATGCATTTTGATCCAGATCTCATTGCAGGCCGATGCAGATTCCATGCTGTTTATTTTGCTGCCATTTTATACAGCATAATGCAGTTTTGATGCAATTCCAGTGCAGTTTAATGCAATGCTGAACAAATTTTTACGCCATGATGGAACAATTTCTATGCAATTTTAGTGCCTCTTAATACAAACTTCATTAATCTCAAGGTGCGTATTATATTATTTTATACTATTTTAATGCAATTTTAATGCGTTTCAATACAGACATCACAGTTTTAATCCAGCCCTGCTTCATTTTAATCTTCATCCATATTAATACAGATTTCGTACTGTTTAACGCCATTCTTATGCAAATCAACGGTGTTTAATTTTTATCCGGTTTTATTGGAATTTTACTCAGATCTTTCACATTTCAATTCGTTTTTCATGCAATTCAAACACGATTTCACTACATTTTGGATCACACAGCATGGAATTTTTATGTCTTTTTTTTTCTTAATGTGAATTTCTGCATGAATTTTTTGTATAAGTTTTTGTGCAGGTTTCTCCATGAGTTTTTATACAGATTTCTGTATGGATTTTGGTCCAAATTTCTGTTCGGATTTTTATATGAATTTCCATACAGATTTTTGTCTGAATTTCTGTTTGGATTTTTGTCCAAATTTCTGTATGTTTTGTTTGTTTGTTTATTTGTTGTATGAATTTCTGTACAGATTTTTGTATGAATTTTCCTGCAGATTTTTGTCTGCATTTCTGTTTGGATTTTTATCTCAATTTCTGTACAGATTTTTGTACGAATTTCTGTACGGATTTTTGTCCAAATTTCTGTATTTTTTGTTTTGTTTGTTTGTTTGTATGAATTTCTGTTTGGATTTTTGTATGAATTTCTGTACAGATTTTGTCCAAATTTTTGTTTGGATTTTTGTCTGAATTCCTGTACAGATTTTTGTACAAATTTCTCTATGGATTCTTTTCTGAGATTCTGTTTGGATTTTTGTCCAAATTTCTGTTTGGATTTTTGTCCAAATTTCTGTTTGGATTTTTTTACTGAATTTCTCTATAGACTTCTGTCTGAATTTCTGTATGGATTTTTATATGAACTTCTGTACAGATTTTTGTCCAAATTTCCATTTGGATTTTCATCCAAATTTCTGTTTAGATTCCTATATGATTTTCCATAGAGATTTTTGTCCAAATTTCTGTATGGGTTTTTGTCCCAATTTCCATTTGGGTTTTATAGGAATCTCCATACAGATTTTTGTCTGAATTTCTATTTGGATTTTTATATGGATTTCTGTGTGGATTTTTGTCCAAATTCCAGCACAGATTCTTGTCCAAATTTGTGTTTGGATTTTTGTCTGAATTTCTATTTGAATTTTTGTATGAATCCCTCTACAGATTTTTGTATGGATTTCTGTATGGATTTTTGTCTGAGTTTCTGTATGGATTTTTGTCCAAATTTCTGTTTGGATTTCCATCTGAATTTCTGTACAGATTTTTGGCCAAATTTCTGTATGGGTTTTTGTATGAATTTCTGCATGGATTTTTGTCCAAATTTCTG